TATAAACCATTTTTTTCTCATACATTTTTGTTAGATGATGTTTAGATCCGAGGAAACATATCTTAAAACATATACTAAGCTCCATTTTTTATTCTTTCGAGCATTGGGAAGAAAGAAAAACTAAAGTGTTATAATATTAAGATGGCAAAAATATTAATAACAACAATGATATCATATATGCTAATATTTTTAGTTGTCAGTTAAATCCTATCACTACACCTTGCATTAGTTATTAAAGTAATTATCTATTATATTATTAACAACCAGTGTTTTATTAAAATCTTAAGGTAGTTAAAATTGTACTTTTAATAATCGAGCTTTCAAAGTAATAATTATATATATATATATATTCTTAAAGTGGAATCATAGTTCTCATTTTTTCTTTGTCCTTTCAAAATTTGAAATTTTAGAGAATTGAAACTATTGTTGAAGGAAAATTTAGTTTTTTAACAATGGTTTTCCTTTATTGCTTCTAGTATTACACGTAACTTATCATTTCCACTTTTCTGTGTTTTCTTTTTAATATCAATTTTCCATTTCTATTTATTTTGATTTCCTTTTTCTTATTTTTTGAATTATATTTTCCTCAATAAATATATCAAGACTATTATTGTAATTTTTTTTTTTAGAATTGATTTTTAAAATTTTAATTAGTTAATTCTAGTTTCGTCCTCCAATTCAAAATTTCTAGACACAGAGCGTTGATAAACAAATCATATAATATTAAGAAGCATATTTGCACTCTAAGTCTAAGAGCACAAAAAGAAGATACATTATACTCCCTCCCTCTATCCAAAAATAAATAAAAATTGTCCTATCTCTCAATTTTTGAATGTCCCAAAATAAATGTCATGAACATTTATTTCATCAGCGCTCATACTTGGATATTATTTAGGGAAAACTCAAGAAAAATGTGATTTTTATACTAATCTAAAACTTTTTCATATGGGCATCTTCAAATTGGAATCAAAAAATGAAAGCAAGCAGATTGTTGACATGAAAACATACATTATTGGTTAGTTATGTTTATCACATTTGGATGGAGAGGAACAATACAAGGTCTCTCCTATGATGAAGACGTTGAATGCCATTTCTGATGGTGTGAGATTGCGACTCTTCTTTATGAAACAATGCAAGTGCCCACGCACTCAAAAACATAACAATTGATTGGAATCTTCTTAGTTCCTTTTTGAACCATTTCAACAACGCTTTCTTCTCCTTTACCTAATTTCTTACTGTTTGTGACGGAGGAGAAAAACTTTTTTGCACCCATTGCGTTGTGCAACAGCGCATTCACATCGTTCGTTACCGTATAATATATGTACACACTTGTGTATTACATACACAATAATAAATAATTTAATGTACCCGTTACACGGGCATTAAAAAACAAAGGTTTTTCTCCTGACCGACAGATGGACCAGGTTTAAATTTGAAGTTCTGTTCTTTAAGTAGTTGATGCATGTGGACTGGACTGTGGTTGCTTTGGGGTTGTCATGTTAGGAGTTTTTTTGTTTACGATGGGCTTTATGTTGATTTTGCCTGGGCTTTTAACCTTGTAGCCTTTTGTAATGTTTGTTGCCCTGTATTGGGCTTATGTTCTTTTCCTTTTGTTTTGGACCCGACCCACCTACTTAACCCAAAAAAATAAAAGAAAAGAAAATAAAAGAATTTGGAGTGTGAAAGAAAGATTATATATAGGAGTTGTCCCTAAACAAGATTTAGATTAAAGGTTCCCTTTTTTTGGATGTAAAATATTTTTAAAACATTTTTCAGCGAAACAAACAAATTATTTGCGCAAAATGCTTATTCTCACACTCCTAAAGCATGTTAGAAGCTTGCGCATGCCCAACCCTATCCATGAAATAAGCCAATAATGTATTTCATACAGTATTATGCCATGTAATTATTGAACCAAACCAATTCGGTTCGAACCATGGTTCCTTCCTTTTCCTTTTTCTTTTATTTTTTTTTTTTTATCTTTTTATTTTTAATTTACAATTTAATTCAATTCGGTTAGGTTCTAATAGACTTAAAATCGGAGTTGAAACCGTAAACTAACAGTTCCTCATTTTAAAACCGAAACTAGAGCTGAACCATAAAAGAATCGGAACGAAGCAACAATTTAATAAGTCTCTTGCCGATTTCACAATTCCAACAATTTTTTGTGCACCCTGTAACAATATATGTCTTGTGTACTTAGTTTTATGTTTAGATAATGTGTAGAATTTAACAAAGATCATATAGATATGGATTTGCTAATATATGCCAAAACTTAACATGGTTGAATCACTATTTTTTAGTCGCTTTTCTTTTTGAAGGAAGCGTGAAATTATTTTATCAATAAGGTGTAATGAAACAGAACACTCAGTAAATTGTATTTCATTCCAACTTAAACGTATATTAACTTGTGTGTCATTTTGTTTCATGCTTAAACAATAAAATAAAAATGACATCTCTAGTTGTTCATGTCTTTTTTACCCTTGATACAATATTCAAGGCTGTTAGAAATTCCACACTTTGATGTGGTCTTTTGCCTGATGATACCAGAAAGGGAAAGGAAATTGCACCAATTGGTTTACTGTAATAGTGTAATGGATACGTGCTTACTCATTTATTTAAAAGGTCAAACTGTTAGATAGTACTGCATACTCACTTATTTATACCCAATCACTTTTTCATTCGGATCCGATGTGCGACAAATGACCCTTATTACATTCTCCCCCACTCAAAACTTGCAACGCCCTCGTTACAGCTCGGGCCACCCTACCTAACCGGGGTGTTCACCCGGACGCCTTTGGAGCCGAACTCTTTGCGTGACACCGGATTAAGGACTGGGTCTGGCTCTGATACCAACTGTAACGGGTAGGCACTTGTCTATTTACCCAAAATCTCAAGTTGTTGGGTAGTGCTGCATACCCACCAATTTATACCCAATCACTTTTCCATCCGGATCCGATGTAAGACAAATGACCCTTGTTACATTTATCCAATAACCTAGTTCACCCATACTAGATTCTTTCAAACAAGGATTTTATGAAATTAATTAGAAAATGATCCAATTAAAATGTGCACCAATTAAGTAATTTGACTTACAAACTCTTCCACTGTTTTAGATGATTAATATGTGCCAGTTGGAGTTAATATTCACAAAAGGGTAAAGTAAGAAAAACAACCACAATGTTTAAAAATTGGACAAATAGCACCCTTAACCTTTATTTTGGGTAAATAAGTCTGTTAAGTTTTCAAAAAGGGACAAATAAGGACTTAATTTGTATAATAGGTCAGAAAATTACATTTAAGTAGTCATATGTGTTGCACAAGCCTCTCTCTCTCTCTCTCTATATATATATATATATATATATATATATTATAAGACAAGAAGAAGCCTGACACTCCAAAATTCACCGGAGGCCACATGCCTATATTAAGTAACAAATTTACTAAACTATCATTTTGGTCTCCTCAAAATGCCCTTATACCATGTTACATATAAATAGACCATTTTGTTTTTGGTTAGGGTACTTTAGTCATTTTACATTTATTTTGTGTTTTACTTCTTCTGTTTTTTTTTTTTTTTTTTTTTTTCCAAATATATAAAATCACTTTAGTCTTTTAATCGCTCTACTAACAACAGTCACTTGTTTGCAAAAAATAAAAATAAAAATGAGGGACTTTTAAAAACCTTTTTAGTATTATTTTTCCTTTTTGTAAACAATAATAAGACCAACTAAAACTTAAAAGTCACTAACAATTCTTGATTTTGATCTTTCCACAAAGCCCCATCCTTTCAGTCCAGTATACTATGTTTCAATTTTTTGATTTGCTCTTTTTAAATTTTTATTTATTTATTTATAATTATTATATACTCAAATGCTACTTCTTCCAAATCATGCATATTGGGGATGACATTGGCTCATGTCCTACGCTAGGGTTTTTTGCATTTAAATATTGAATCTTTCATTTTGATACCAAGTAAATCATAATTTTTTTTATTATTATTATATTACATGGCCTTAACATGTCCCAATAAGAAAATTATGAGTGACCCCTTAAGTGCAGAATTTACCATTTAGTCATGCGCAACACAATCTCTGGGTCAATTACAACCTATGAAGCACGAACACGGATACGGGACACGGGTATGACACGACACGGATACGGCGACACGGCAAATTTCAAAAAAATAAGACACGGACACGGCGGGAATACGCCTATAAAATTATATATATAAATATAGAGATATATAATTATGTATTCAAAATATAATTACTAGAATTTTATACAGATAAATAAAACAACAAATAACAGAATCAATTTCAGTAATTTCATCTCTGTTATAAGAAAAATATAGACAAGACAAAACAGAAAATAAATGAAAAATAAAGTTGATCCAAATTCCAAACGAGATGTGCAGAAGAGATATAACTATAATGAACTAAATATGTATATGAATAAACATATATACTTTCAGTCTTTCACCAAATTTTGTTCATGTAACTTAAATATATATATATATATATATATATATCTTATTCATGAAGAGAGATAATTGAAGAAGATGAGAGACTGCGAGGAGTGAGAGAAAATAAATTGTCTCACAGAAGTGTCGGACCGTGTGTCCGAGCCTCGGACACGTGTGTCCAATAAAAAATAATATTTGAACACTTTACAAAAGTGTCAAATACGTGTCCGAGCCTCGGACACGGGTGTCGATGTCCAAAAAGTATCCGACACGGGTACGAGACCCCTAGGAGGAGTGTCCGTGCTTCATAGATTACAACTATACCCTTGGTCTTTCAAGGCATGGGCTACCAGCCACCAGGACAAAACTTTTGACCCATTCACCGTTAATTCTTTTTCTTTCTTGTAATTTTCTCCGCAACTAGAAGGGATATCCTTGGAAATAACTTCCAATTTTTATATATATTTATTTTTTAACAATTTTTTAATACTTTCCAAGATGCAAAAAGGAGCAAGTAACCATAGTAAAAAATAAATAAAAAATAAAAATCATACACTATATATTTTTTTTCCTGGGAAAAAATTTTATAGACAAAGAAATAATGTTCAAAAGGGAACAAGCGGGGGCATACCCCCACTATGCAGAAGAAAACAAGTCCATTACAAACAATAAAAGGACTAGAGAAAATTACAAGCAAGGAAAACATTAAGAAGTATAAAACAGTTGCAACACATCTTGAGGAACGCCAAGGAACAACTAAGCAATTTCAATAGCCTCGATGATAAGCTGCAGACACTCAGAAGCAAAATTAAATAATAGAGCTGCCGAGAAACTGATGTAATTGCAATGATGCAAGATGCAGAGTTTCGAATGGGAAAGAAACAAAAGAGATGGGTCGACAATTGGTTGGATAATGTGCAAAAGAAGAAAAAGGAATTTCAAAGCTTAGAATGAGATGTAAAAGGAAGCAATGCTACTTTTCAAAACTTACAGTTGGGAAAAAATGCTTCGAACTTGTTGAGCAGGATAAATTTCTGTTACTTGATGTACATGACACCAAAGCAATGCCATTGTTGACACGAAATTAACAGGTGAAGAATTTATATAGAATTTGGAAAAGGTTTGAGACTGCTTAATGAAAGATGATATCATGCACAACGGAATTTATAGAATGAGGGCATTGGGAAAAACAACCTTGGCAACCTATATCCATGATTTACTTTCACGAAGTTCTGAAACGTCTGAGGTGCATGTTCATTGGCTCACTGTGTAGCAAGATTAACGTGTGAAGTATGAAATTGCCAACATGTTAAAGTTAGATCTCACAAAGGAGAATGGAAAGGAGAAAAGGGCAGCCAAACTCTCACAAGCATTGACAAGAATGAAGAAATTTAGACTTATCTTGGATGATGTGTGGAAATATTTTGGTTTTGAGGAGGTGAGAATTACTTGTAGAGTGAATGGATTGAAGTTGATTCTTACTACCACTTGGGATAATAACAATGGGTGGAAGTATGAGGGAGGTGGTTGATACTCATGAGTGGAGGAATGCATTGGAAGAACAGGAAATATCCATGATGAGGCAGAAAGACATGGGAGTTGAGGTATTACCTATATAGACGGAAGGCTGAGCTGTGATCAAGCTTGCAACTTCCTTTGATAGCAGACTCTACATCTCATACAAAAGAGACTTGTCCAGAGGCACTTCAACTCGATATTTCCTAACGGATGCCATCAGCACTTGAAAGATGCGCATCAAAGGGCTGCCTCCAGATTTCTGGTACCGATACAACCTAGTACCTGAAAAGATTCTCACAACAGCAATTGCCAAGCAATGAGTGCACCAACATTGATTGAAAAATAAAACCAATTGAAGAAAGAATTCTTTTGTTTCTTCTCTGCCTCATCAGCATCATCAAACTAATATGCTCCATAGGATGAGACGCAAGGTTTAATCCCTCCAGTCCCAAGAGCTATCAAGTGCTAGGAAGCACACTGCACTTTGTGTATCTGTCATGTGGCAAACATCATTTTCATAACAAGTTGGCTTCAGGCCAGGAATTGATGCTGACATTGTCATCAAATGTCATTCCCTACATGAATTTGAAATATTTTCAGTGTTTTCACAGCAAAAATGTACAATTCAACCAAAAGATGTTTTTAACACTCAAGAGTCGAGAAAAAACATCTTTTTGCAATAAATAATTGGCAGGACTTGATTAATTAGAATATGAATTTACGAGGCATTTGCAAATAATTGTTTTATGTCAAGGAAAAACATCTTTTTGCAATAAATAATTGGCAGGACTTGATTAATTAGAATATGAACTTATGAGGCATTTGCAAATAATTGTTTTATAATTCCTCCCCCCACCAATATTTTAATAGTTCATAGCTGTTCTACTTTGTTTTTGATACATGACAGTCTATAGAAATTTAAAAATCCAATTCATATGACCCTGGATTTCTTTCCAGGCAATTGAAACATAGTCATGTCAATTACAACAAAACATGAACTAGGAAAATAAAAATTAATACAAAACATGCTTTTGTTTATATATCAATATATAATATACATGCTCAAAATGAAAGAAAAACCTATAACACGTATACATATATATGGTGGATTGATATTCATATATAGAACAACTTAAATGACATTTCAAGCCTTAAATAAATAAAGGGTTAAGTGCAAAAAACCCCCTCGCTATACAAAAGGTGTGCAAGAAACACCCCTATTAGAAAAAGAGTGCATATAAAATCCTTGTATTATCTATCTTTTGAGCAATTGACCCCTAATTATCAATTTTGACCAAATTTTTTTATAAAAATTCCAAAATGCCCTCCTGATGTAAGTATGAATTTTATTTTATTTAAATCTAGACGTCTTTCTCTTCTCTAAAATAGAATTACCATCCAAACTCTCCAACTCAAATCTCTTCATCTAAGAATTCAATAACTTTGTGATATAACTTCCAAACCATTCATGAACAACCACCACCACCATAGGTGTTTATATATATATATATATATATATATATATATATATATTGTAATCGCAGGAAAAATATATATAAATAAATAAATAAAAAATAAAAATAAAAAATAAAAAAATTTAAGCATCACCGTGCTTCACCACCACCACCAAACCACTAACCGACGAGGAGGAAACTCAGTGGGGAAGCCAAAGTTGAACCTAAACTTAAACAGGGCATCCCAAGTTGAACCCAAAATTAAACAGGCATTCCTCGGATAATTACGCTATTCAATTGATAAGGAGAGAGAGAGGGGGTGGGTATTGGTGATGGATTCACGGGTTTCTTTGTCACATGGTCAGCCATTTTTTTTTTTAATATTTATTTAAATTTCTCTTTCCACCAACCCCAAATCAAACCTCTCTGCCATATGTGTGCTTCCAGTGGAATTTGGAAGAATGATTCATCGATGAATAGGCATGGTACTATCTATGTGCATGTTTGCGTATGTATATACAGAGAGGGGGTAGAGAGAGAGGAGGTAGATGGAAATTTTAAAAGCAATTTAGACAATTTGGACCAAACAAGTATGGAAGTGGTCGGGAAAAAGGTTGCCGGAAGAGAAAGACGGACAAAAAATAAAATGGTGACTTATATAAAAAAATAAAAAATAAAATGGAGAGAAATAGAGGGGAGAGAAAACATTTTCCTCCATTATTAATTTTTTATTTTTTATGGGGTATTTTAGACATTTCAATTGCTAAATTGACATAATGTCCTTATTTGCACAAATTAAAACAACAGGGGGTTAATTGCACCTTCTGTATATTATAGGGGTGTTTTTGCACTTAACCCATAAATAAATACATAATAATTGACAACCCAAACCTATATGGGTTAATATAAAAGAGGGAATATGAATGAAACTGAAATTCTAATGACTAATGGAAAGAAGAAGACATATATAGAAAAAATATATCTATGGATATATCATAAGGTCCAATTTTATTTTATTTATTTTTATATTCTCCTATTCCTGCTTGATGCTGTATGTTTTTCATAATATGTTCTCAGTCTCTTAATTTTTTGCTTTATTGTTTGATCTCTCCTTACCTATTTCCTGAATCCCCCATTAATTCTTCAAAATCTTTGGGTTTCCTAATTCATGATTTACCAAATATATGCAGATTTTATACTCTAATACCATGTTAACAACCAATTATATTTATAATATTCAAAGAAGTTGATTTTCTAAGGAGATGAACAAACAAACTTACAATGACATGGATGATAGAGATTGTAGCAATTGTATAATATCTTCCTATTAGAAATTGTCAAGATACGCTCCTATCAGAGGGTGAGGTAGCAGATTCCCGACCAGTTTAAATTATTCTTAGAAATCGTAGAACTTTGCTGATTTAGATGATTCTTGAAATGAAGCACCAGATTGGAGCACATCCCATAGTATGCCAGCATTTCACAACATTCATTTTGTGTCAATAAACATAAAAAATTATCAACATCTCATATAATTTATTTATTTTTCAAATTTTGCTAGCATGAAGTGATTAGTAAGTAAAATACCTGGGATATAATGACAAGCCTTCGATGTTCTGTTTCCTTCTTTTGTGCAGGATTATTACAGTAAGCTAGAGTCCCATATTTAGTCTATGCATCATCTTTTGTCAATGCATCATCTTCTGACACACCTCCAACATGCAAGTAGTAAGAATCAACTTCAATCCATTCACTCTACACGGAATTTCCAAAATGTTTTCACACATCATCAAGATAAGTACAGGTTTCTTCATTCTTGTCAATGCATGTCAGAATTTGGTTGCCCTTTTCTTCCTTTCATTCTCCTTCGTGAGATTCAACTTTAACATGTTGGCAATTTCATACGGCAATTTATCTACACTTTAATCTTGCTATACAGAGAACCAATGAACATGCGCATCAGAAGTTTCAGAACTTCGTAAAAGTAAATTATAGATATGGGTTGCCGAGGCTGTTTTACCCAATGCCCCCATTTTATAAATTCAAATGTGCATGATATCATCTTTCACTAAGCAATCCCAAGCCTTTTCCAAATTCTTTTTGAAAAGTAGTACTGTTTCCTGGTACATCTCATTCTAAGCTTTGAAATTTAGTTTTTGCACATTATCCAACCAATTCTCAACTTCTCTTTTATTTATTTTCCATTCAATTTTGCTTCTGAGAGTTTGCATCGTATCATCAAGGTTGTTGATATTGCTTAGCTGTTTAGTAACATTCCTCAACATATTTTTAGCGGTAGCACTGCCAAAACCAAAAAAGTCATATGAGATACTCAAATACAACAACCAAGAGAACTTCAACAGAAACTGATTTTCATAAACTTCAACACTAAGGCTGCTAATAAATTATACTAATTGAGTCCCACTTCAATGTAAAATAATATTTGAAAGAGTAATTAGTTGCAAAAAGAAAACAAAAAACAAAAAACAAAAACAAAAACAAAAACACTATACAAGTTTTAGCAAGTAGTTTTTGTGAACTAATTTACTAACAATATAGCATGCTACTACCTTTGGCTATAAAAAAAATTATTGCAAGATACTATATCTCGGACTTTGAACTTCTACATATTACTTGTATATCAACTGTCTATCTTATAGATAATAAAATTGTTCAAATAAATTATTAAAATAATCAAGTCACTCAGTGAAAATTGTATAGAAACTTATCACACCCTTTCACTCTATTGTTCGTTTCAATATCCTTAAATTCCTAATGAAAGGAAATGACAAAAAAACTGGGTTAAAGCTGATGTATGATGCGCAACAGAAGAACTAGGCGATACAAATTTAAAAGTCCTCTGGGCAAGGCATAAAAACCCACCGATCTGCAGCCATGATTGTAGCAGATAATTTTTAAAGATATCAACAAAATGGGTCAGAAGTTATAGTTCAAGTATACTGCTAGTAATTCAAATTTGATTATCATAAGAAATTTCAATCTGATAGCTTGGAATTGAAATAACAAATTTTAGATGCCCATTTTGCCCCTGTTCAATTACAAGAGCAATTTGGGAAATATTGTTATAAAAGTAAGAAGAATTCAACTACAAATTTCCTAATACAGTTCCTGGGAACCCCAATCTAAACACGAGGTAGAATTGAACAGTCTGACCGCCCGATCAGAAAACAGATTTTATCATTATGTCCAAAACGTCCCAAAAGCACCTTGGCCTACCTCTGGTGGACAGAAGATTAACAAATGCTCATTGTGCTCCACTGGTGGACAAGATTAACACTAAGCTATCTGCTTGGAACTCTTTTAAAATTTCCCTTGCAGGTAGGGTGGAATTAGTGAAATCAGTTATCACATCATATTATATTATTTTTGGTCTACTGTCTTCCCCTTTACCTGTTGGGGTTCAGAATGTCATTGAGAAGAAGGTTAAGCAAATCTCATGAACTGGTCATTCTGAGCACAGGGAAAATCCTCTATTCAGCTGGGAGAAAGTTACTAAGCCTAAGAGGGAAGGAGGTCTGGGGATTAGGAGCTTGCAGAGCATCAATTCAGCTAGTAAATGTGTGATTCTATGGGATTGTCTTCATCTCAAAGAAGCCTTATGGGTCAGATGGTTCAGAGACAAGTACCTCAAGAGAGTTCATTTTTGGAATGCTATTAGTAGGGCTTCTGACTCTGCTATATGGAAAGATATTTTATCTTTTTAGGGACTCTATGCTTCCACATTTGAGATACAAAGGCAATAATGGTGTTTTCATTCAGCCTTTTCTTTGACCCTTGGTGTGATGGGGCTTCCTTACAACAGAGATATGGGGTGAGAAGACTTATTGAAGGGTTTAACAGTAGGGACACAGTCAGTGTTTTATGGCAAAATAACCAATGGTCATTGCCTCAGTCTTGGTCTGCTGAAATCTCTGGTTATTTAATGAATAACAATCCATCTGCAAATGATGAGGTGCTCTGGGACAGGCCAGTTTAATTTTTCAGCTGCTTGGGATTTGACTTTTTGAGTAGGCTCCATGGAACTGAAGTAACTTGGTATTCACTGGTCGGGAATGGCAGTAGACCGAGGATTTCCATGTTTGTGGTGCTGATGATGCAGAGAGAAAACAAATCTTATGTTCATCTGAAGAGACAGGATCTTCCTCTTACATCCATTTGTCACAAGACTCGTAACTGCTACAATGGGGAGGATTCTAATGACCAACTTTTCTAGTCTTGTAGTTATGCTAAACAGGTGTGGCAATGGTTTGGGGAGTTATGCAATTGGGAGGTTCTTCTGCAGCTTCCTTCCTTGGAGGATGCTACTGCCTGGTTCATTATCCAATCTGAAGGTGTCCATTGAAAAGCAAAATTACTAGATGTTTTTACACAGCTATCATTTGGAGTCTTTGGGGCCATAGAAACAAGATTTTGCTTGGTGGATCTGGACCTAGCTAGAGCAGCATGTCTTGAAGGGATTTCCTCATTGGGTGCATCTCTTCTCGACTTGCAAACCATTTTTTGAGATTGGTATTTTCTTTTTTTGGCTTCATTGTCTTTCTTTTGTCAAGGGTATGCCCTAAACTAGTTTTTTGGATTGTACTTTTGTTTTCTCTTTGTGATCTTGTTCTACCATATCGCTATCTCCACTTGTACTATATTGTTTAATCTGTATTTATAAAATTTCCACCATTTAGGGAAAAAAAATGGCCCAAAACCCTAGGATACACTTAGAATCAAAGTCATAACACAACTCCTAGCACCAGATTATGAAACTCCAGGAGATGGGCACAATCATAATTTCGCACCTAAACATGTCAATCCAATTGTCAAATTGGAGAATGGACCCCAACATTGCATTCAGAACATCCCAAAACCCTATGACGGACGCGGGATCAAGTGCATGACCTTAACCTCCAAAGAGCTCACAAGACTCTTCGGAAAGGGCCAAAACAGCCATTTAACCCTGGTTATTTAGAATCCTATACTTGCACTTTAAAGCACTTCCTGCTCTAAAAACAACAGGATTAGTGTAAATCCTCACTTCAAAAGCACAAGCAGCTCTAAAAACAAGAGTATAAATCTCACTTGAAGGTGCAAGCAGTTCAAAATAGAACTGAATTAGCACAAACCTGCATCTGAAGAGGCAAGCGTCAAATAAAACTAATTTAGCATGAATCCACAACAGAAGATGCGAGCAGCCTAATTAAAACAAAATTAGCATCTTCTAATGCGGACAGCTTCACAAAAGCCTAATTTTAAACTGACCGCACTTCCAAGCGAGGACAGGCTCAGAAAATTCTAGAATTTAATTGTCTTGAGCCCCAAGCTTGCAACCTCTATAAATAGAGACCTCCCTCTCTCATATGAGGTTAGCCACACAATACACACTTACTAACCCTAGCTCTCTCCCTCTCTCCACTTTAGTGCAGAGGAGCCCTTCTAACCCTAATGTAGGACACAAAAGCTCTTATACCAAATGATGTAGGAAGGGTAGTGAGCTCTTGTAATTTTAAACTGACCGCACTTCCAAGTGAGGACAGGCTCAGAAAATTCTAGAATTTAATTGTCTTGAGCCCCAAGCTTCCAAGTGTGTATTAGCCACACAATACACACTTACTAACCCTAGTTCTCTCCCTCTCTCCACCTTAGTGCAGAGGAGTCCTTATAACCCTGATGTAGGACACAAAAGCTCTGATACCAAATGATGTAGGAAGGGTAGTAGCTCTTGTACCAACTGATGTAGAAGAGAGTAGTGTGAATGATGCAAACCAGAAGAGAGAAGGAGAGTGAGAAGAAGACAAAGAAGAAAAAGGGAAGAAGAGAGGAAGGAAGAAGAATCTGAGGGAGAAGAACTCTGCAATCAATACTCAATTTTCAATATTCATCAAAGTTGCCAAATACAATACATGTATATAAAGGAAATACAATGTGCTAATTTAAAGGAGAGCTCATGACAACTGCCATGAAGTCAACCTAATAATAGCATTACTCTTGGAATTTATTACATATCTAAAATTTGGTGCCCATATGATATTTTCAATATCATTGTAATAATGACCAACTATTATAGTTTTCTAAGAAGAGACTGGGGTTTATTAGTTGTGTTGTCACTAATAGCCGTGTTTTCTCAACAGTAATACACATATCGATGGGCAGTGGGAGATACATAATTAAACAAAAAAGGCATTTGACGAGAAAGCAGATTCGAGCCAAAAAAGGTGGCTTTAATTGAGTTATCATAATGGAGATTCATCGTTGATTACTTCACAATGCAATTAATACACACACGCACATCTATATATATATGTACACCCATCAGCTTAAATGTTAGGGGATAGGTGTTCAAGGACCAGTATGGGTAAACGAAGATGCTTTTTTTTTCCTTCAAAATGTGCTAATTTGAAGGAGAGCTCATGACAACTGACATGAAGTCAACCTAATAATAGCATTACTCTTGGAATTTATTACATGTCTAAAATTGGTGCCCATATGACATTATCAACATCATTGTAATAAGGGCCAACTATTATAGTTTTCTAAGAAGAGACTGAGGTTATTAGTTGTGTTGTCTCTGATAGCTGTGTTTTCTCAACAGTAATACATATATCGATAGGCAATGGGAAATACCTAAATTAACAAAAGGGCATTTGACAAGAAAGCAGATTCAAGCCAAAAAGGATCGCTTGAATTGAGTTATCATAATGGAGATTTATTGCTGATTAATTCACAATGCAATTAACACACACATATATACATGTACACCCATCAGCTTAAATGTTGGGGGATAGGTGTTCAAGGACGAGTATCGGTAGATGGAGATGCTTTTGCTTTAAGAAAACAAGTTGAAAACAAAATATTTATATTATATATTTTTTAACCTCTCTCTATATTATTTGCTCTCTATATTATGGAGATGCTTCATGACAACTGCCATGAAGTCAATCTAATAATAGCATTACTCTTGGAATTTATTACATATCTAAAATTTGGTGCCCATATGATATTTTCAATATCATTGTAATAATGACCAACTATTATAGTTTTCTAAGAAGAGACTGGGGTTTATTAGTTGTGTTGTCACTAATAGCCGTGTTTTCTCAACAATAATACACATATCGATGGGCAGTGGGAGATACATAATTAAACAAAAAAGGCATTTGACGAGAAAGCAGATTCGAGCCAAAAAAGGTGGCTTTAATTGAGTTATCATAATGGAGATTCATCGTTGATTACTTCACAATGCAATTAATACACACACGCACATCTATATATATATGTACACCCATCAGCTTAAATGTTAGGGGATAGGTGTTCAAGGACCAGTATGGGTAGACGAAGATGCTTTTTTTTTTTTTTTTTTTTTTTTTTTTTTTTTTTTTTTTTCCTTCAAAATGTGCTAATTTGAAGGAGAGCTCATGACAACTGACATGAAGTCAACCTAATAATAGCATTACTCTTGGAATTTATTACATGTCTAAAATTGGTGCCCATATGACATTATCAACATCATTGTAATAAGGGCCAACTATTATAGTTTTCTAAGAAGAGACTGAGGTTATTAGTTGTGTTGTCTCTGATAGCTGTGTTTTCTCAACAGTAATACATATATCGATGGGCAATGGGAAATACCTAAATTAACAAAAGGGCATTTGACAAGAAAGCAGATTCAAGCCAAAAAGGATCGCTTGAATTGAGTTATCATAATGGAGATTTATTGCTGATTAATTCACAATGCAATTAACACACACATATATACATGTACACCCATCAGCTTAAATGTTGGGGGATAGGTGTTCAAGGACGAGTATCAGTAGATGGAGATGCTTTTGCTTTAAGAAAACAAGTTGAAAACAAAATATTTATATTATATATTTTTTAACCTCTCTCTATATTATTTGCTCTCTTACGAATTCTATAATTTTTACTACCACATGACACCTCCCTATTTAATTCGTCCAGTGGAAGGTTTATCAATTATGACATCCTTGAAACACCTTGAGTGCCTCCACTGGCTTCAACCAGTGAGAAATTTCCAACGGCTACTAATGCACAAGGTGGCCCACTAATCAACATCTCGGGCTCAAAGCACAACCAACGGTGACCTTAACATGAAGCTTACCAACTCTACTCTACAATTTTTCAATTTGCAACGTACACTAATCCTAGGCAGGGCCAGATTATCAACAAGTACATGAGAGTTTTCTTGATACGGGGTAGTAGACGCGGCGGAGCTTTGTCGAAACTATACCTCCTTGGTTTCAAAAAACCAGTGGCCATGGCCTAGACATGTCTACAACATTGTTCACCCTTTCCATGACATCACTAACCTACCTCTCCCTAATCCTACCAACACTGACCTCATACAATGGACCCCTTCTCCAAATAAGTCAAATTCTCTTCACCACACAGTTGAATCCATCTCAGAGCCTCTACCCAATGCCCACTTGCACAAACTTGTATGTTTCAGCAACTCCATTCCTAAACACTCATTTTGTTTATGGTTAGCTATCCAAGACAAGTTATTGACTCGAGATAAGCAAGCCTTGTTTTTCACCATGCAACCAAATTTTAGTTTTTTGATGCCTAAATGCAGCTGAAATCCATGAAAACTTATTTCACCAATGCTCCTATTCGCCAATTTATCTGGAACAGATTACAAGATAACTGTGTGTTCTATACAAACCCTAATTCATGGATTGACTTTCTGATTTGGGCATCGTCCTATTGGAAACATAAATTGAAATATTGTCGAGTGCTAACTTGGAAGCTTACGTTTCAGCAATACTCCTATTCGAGATTTATCTTGAACAAATTACAAGATAAGTGTGTGTTCTATACAAACACTAATTCTTGGAATGACTTTCTGGTGTGGGCATCGTCAATTGGAAACCCAAATTGAAATATACTCTTGAATGCTAACTTGGAAGCTTACCTCGGATAGCTTTGTCTATCACTTGTGGAAGGAGAGAAACAATCGAATTTTCAGGAACAAATCAGCGCCTCCTCTGAAACTCCATTGTGGACTCGATTAGACTTCGGTTGTTCTCCATCAAACAGTGCCAATGTCCATTTTCTGGATCAGTTGCTTCGGATTGGAATCTCTCTCCACCCTTCTTCGAACCGGAACGCCTACTTCTCCTTCACCTAACTTCTCCAATGGATGCTCTGTGGAATTGTATCTTGCTCCCGTCTAATATATAGGGTTAGTTTGGTACGTTGGTAGTCAGGTGGGCCGATGGTCTCACGGTTTGAGTTCGGGCATGGTTTGTTTTGCATCCCCCTCTTAATGGATCTATTCATGTAATGGGGTGAACTAATTTGTCTCTTCCACATTGGGCCGGATGACAAATGCGTTGGTACCATTGTTAAGTGGAGATGTGGGCTGGTACCATTGGTGCGCAAGTGGAGACGTGGGTTAGCTTGAAACTTATTTATTATTATTATTTTTTTAAAGAAGTTAATACTTAAGTTCTCACTGTTAAGCTCTACCAATAATAAATAGACATATTCTTTTAAATTATAAAATAAAACTGTATATCACACACAATTCTAAGGGACTAGTTCAAGTGGGTTAAAACTTTGTCTTAATACCTCTTAAAATATTAAATTTAAGCTTTAAATCTTCTTAAGTGCAAGTAATTTATTAAGAAGAAGTGTACGAGTATAAATTAAAGAAAAAAAGTGCATACTCCATTATTTCTAATTGAGTAGTTAAAGATGTACGATTTACTATTTAAAGAAGATTACTGTGATTGGATTCATCTTGAAAAACCAAGTAGTATGTTTTTGTGGAAATTCTTTTAAGAAATTCAATAGGAAAGTTGTGCTACCACACAAACGCTCACACGAGGAACATAATTGAGAAAAAAAAAAAAAAAAAGTGTGATGGGCATACATATAATTTTATTTTAGGGAATTACGTTTTGACCATTACATTTCCAACAATCACTCTCTTTCATGTATCTCTCGATCTCTGCAACTAAAACATGTTTTGAGAAGAACAAAAGCTGTGCATCTCCATATCTCTCTAACAAAACCTCAACTCAATCAAGTTTAGAAAAGATTAAATATATTTTCATTTTTTAGGTAAAATATGTTTTTTTATGATGTTGAAGTCGAGTCCTTCGGGTTAGACGTATAAAATAACTTACTAAAAATTGATAGATAAATTATTTATGTTAAATTTTAATATATTTTTTCTTCGTAAATATTTTACGATAATCAAGACCAAAAGATAAATAAATATTTTCTAAAAAATATTTTACATTCAAAATCTGAGCCAGCCTTATTTTATGCTTGTTGGACCACTCTAAGCACATGAAGATATCGTATGACGATGATCATATTAAGTGACAATACATTTTCAACATATGCGTAAATTGTAGAGCTTATTTTGTGATTTGTTTCCTGTATTATAATTAAGATTGGGTAGTATCTCATCCCTTCAATCAACCAAGTCCAAGAGTGTATAACTTTGTAATCCTAAATGAAGTAAAGTAGGAAAATATTTTAGCTACATAGCCTACATAACAACTTTCATGGTATCAGACTATCACAGCCTTTAGCATTTTCTTTTTCACCTAGTAATCATTTTTAAAGTTCATCAACAAAGCCTATAACTTGGATTACAGAGCTTCCAGCCCCTTCTTTTTTTTGGTTTCTTTACATGCAATTTCTCTTTTCTTCATTAAGAACTGAAGAAATATTGATGGCGACTTCATCCATTGTCAACATTGCTCAACTTGCTTCAATCAAGTTGGATAACGTTTTATGGGTTGCACAGTTTGTGCTTGTTCTAAAAATCCATGATCTATTGTGTTACATTGATAGCTCAAAATTAATCTAAATTTCTTCTTGATCGATAACAATGGCAACCCACATAATGCTATCAATCCTGCCTGTTAGGCTCTGAATGTTATACATTTTAACCTCTTAACTTGCATGTTTTATTCATTTTGTAGTAGTTTATTTGAGATTTTACATTATTTTATTGTTTTTATTTATTTCAGGTTTTAATTGTAAAATCAGTCAAGACCAATGATTCCGAGTTTTAAAAGATGACATTCCATGGGACCGAACAATATTGAAGATCTAAGTCTAATTATACTTAAAAAAAAAAAAAAAAAAAAAAAAAAAAAAAAAAAAAAAAGCCACAAGTTAATGAGAATGGAAAGAAAAAGAAAAGGAAAAATCCTTCTCCAAAAAGGAAACTTTCACCAAAGTTGGTAACTTGAACCCGTTTTAGTAATCTGGTTGTATCTCTCTCCTCAAGTGTCAAAACAACTAAATTCCCACGTTGGTTGAAAGGAAATTCGAAGAGCTACAATTTTATATTTTACGAGGATTTCATAAAACAGCTATTTACCTTGTCAAAATTGGACTGAAAGTCTGTTCAAATTTTGGAGTCCTTATTTGACAGAATTTCTATGTATGTCTTATATATGAAAAATGGAACTTTAGAGCTGATCTTTTATTATTTAAAGGGAGTCTTCTACAGCATTGAATCATCATACAAAAGAGTTTGAGGCTGAGATCAGAGAGAAGCATTCAGAAGAAAGAAGAGATCGATCTATGGCGGTGAAGATGTCTTCCTCAACCATGAAGAATTTCACTCCAGTCATGCTTGGCTAAACGCTTTGCTAGGGTTGTGATGTAGCCCTAGCTTAGCACACTGGTTTGATTGTATTTAATTATTGAAGAACAATTTTTATCATGCATGATTGTGTAATCTATAGGGTTTTTAATTGACTTTTCAATAAGAATTGGTTTTAGAGTTTTAATTCAATTACAAATATTTTTTTTATCTTGTCTTAGATATTTTAATCTTGTGATTGAACACAACTCATTCACTTCTTGTAGTTGTGAATGAGATGATTATACAATGGTATTTCTCTAAATATAATATTAGAGATTTGATGAATTATGCCTAGAAAAGATAGATCGTGATATACCTTAGAGTAAAGTAGTTAGGTAAATTGTTTATGCCAATCGAAGATAGTCAATGCTTAGCTTTAAATTATATTATTTTCTAGCTGAATTAATATGTGCTTATAGCCATGATTTATTTCCTATGCATGTTATATCATATATCTCCAATAAATTGATGCAATTAACTGGTGTTGCGACGTTAGTGGTAAAATCATACCCTTAGTCCTCTCTATCTATTTTCTACATCATATTTAATCATTGTTCTTTAGTTTATTTTATTTTTTGACTTAGTTAATTTAGAATTAATCATCATAATTCGATTATCCAACTTTTAAGTTAATTTGGAATTTAAGAAATCTGTTGACAAACTTAATTTACATAAGTCCATTGGGTACAACACCCTTACAAGTAAATCCTATCTGCAAAGATTCGTGAACTTGCTAGTGGTACATATAAATCTCATAACACTGCCTTTATTTCTTGGTAGGAAAAGGACCAACTACTTCTCAGTTGGATTAATGCCACGCTAACACCAAAGCTATTATCTATGATGCCCTGACTTTCTACTTTAAGATATGTATGGAATGCTCTTCAAAAATATTTTGAAATGGAATATAGTGGTGAGTATTCCTGCCTGTCACGCGGATGACCTGGGTTCGATCCTCAGCAACGGCGCCAAAAACTTCTTGTGAGATTTATATGTACCACTCGCAAGTGCACGAATCTTTACAGATAGGGTTTACTTGTAAGGATGTCATACCCAGAGGACTTGTGTAAATTAAGTTTGTCAACAGATTTCTTAAATTCCAAATTAACTTGAAAATAGGATAATCGAATTGTGATGATTAATTCTAAATTAACTAAGTCAAAAAATAAAATAAACTAGAGAATAATGATTAAATATGATGTAGAAAATAGAGAGAGAGGACTAGGGGTATGACTTCACCACTAACGTCGCACCACCGTTAATTGCATTAATTTATTAGAGATATATGATATAACATGCATAGAGAATAAATCATGGCTACAAGCACATATTAATTCAGTTAAAAAATAATATAATTTAAAGCTAAGCATGGACTATCTTCGATTGGCATAAACCATTTACCTAACTACTTTACTCTAGGGTATAGCATGGTCTATCTTTTCTAGGCATAATCCATCAAATCTCTAACATTATAATCAGATAAATATTATTGTGTAATCATCTCATTTACAATTACAAGAAGTGAATGAGTTGTGTTCAATCACAAGATTAAAATATCCAAGACAAGATAAAAAAATATTTATAATTGAATTAAAACTCTAAAACCGATTCTTATTGAAAAGTCAATTAAAAACCCTATAGATAACATAATCATACATGACAAAAATTGTTCTCCAATAATTAAATATAATCAAATCAGTGTGCTAAGATAGGGCTACATCACAACCTTAGCAAAGCGTTTAGCTAAGCATGACCGGAGTGGAATTCTTCATGGTTAAGGAAGACATCTTCACCACCATGGATCGATCTCTTCTTTCTTCTGAATGCTCCTCTCTGATTTCAGTCTCAAGCTCCTCTGTATAATGATTCAATGCTGTAGAGGACAACTTTTAAATAATAAAAGATCAGCCCTAAAGTTCCCTTTTTCATATAGAAGACATACATAGAAATTCTGTCAAATAAGGATTCCAAAATTCGTACAGACTTCCAGCCCAATTTTGACAAGGTAAACAGCTGTTTTATGGAATCCTCGTGAAACACAAAATTGCAGCCCTTCGAATTTCCTTTAACTCGCGTAGGAATTTAGCTGTTTTGACACTCGAGGAGAGAGACACAGCCAGATTGAAAGTTTCCTTTTTAGAGAAGGATTTTTCCTTTTCTTCTTCTTTCCATTCTCATCAACTTATGGCTTCTTTTGAACTATTTTTTAAGTATAATTAGACTTGGATCTTCAACATTGCTCGGTCCTACGGAATGTCATTGGTGTAGGCTTGTCCCGGCCCACCAAAGCTTGAACCAAATGATAGTGGTGTTAGGCTATGGTCAATGTGGCTAAGTTTTACATTTAAAAATTGCCACTATTACCTTTCACTAAAAATATCGTTAAGGCGAGTAGGGATCGTCCAAAGGGATTGGTAGGTCATGTTAGGTTATGAAATTGTGATACCCTTCGGATCCGAGACATGGGTTGATCAGGCCCAGGCCCAAACCCGAGGGAATATCAAATAATTTAAGTATTTTAAAGCGAACACAGATGACAAAATGAAATAATAAAGATAGAATAAAGCT